AGTCTCGCGCGGTGCATTTAGAGATGGTATACAGTATGTCCACTGAATCGTTTCTGATGGAGTCAAATGCTTTCTGAAGGTCAAGGTGGCACACTTCGACCCAAGCCTGGCCGTAACCTCGTCAAGAAATCCTGGTAGGTTCGTCAAACACGACTTTCCCTTAACAAAGCCATGTTGCTTGCCCGATAGCAAATTGTGAGTTACGAGGTGCTGCGCTATCCTATCCCTCAATATTCTTTCTACTACCTTCAGTGAGAACGGTGTGAGGCTGAATGGTGTTTAGTTGGTCGGTTCCTCCGTGCAACCCTTTGTATGTATAGGGACCACTTCAGCTACTTTCCAGTCTTCCGGCACAGTTGCACTCTCAAGTGATAGTCTCGCAAGCAGGTCACTCAAGACGATCGCTAGCGGCTTCATATTCTCCGGGTGGATGCTATCCGACCCTGCAGACTTAGGCCTTTGCAATCATCTCAGCACGAGCTCTATTTCTTCTTGGTGAAAGAGTGGCTCTGCCATCACCGGTACCCGGGCAGTTTGGAGGATTGGTCTAGATCCTCAATCCGCGTGATGCACCTTCTCAAAGAACCTTTTTAGGATCTCAGCTTTCTCCTTGTCACTCCCAGCATGCTGCCCGTTTTCGTCTCCCACACAGACCACTGCTGACCTCAGGGTAGCCTTAGACATGACATAGTTGTAGTACGCCTTCGGGCATGTCTTGGTCTTAATTTCGACACACTTTTCGTACCTCAACTGATATGCTGGCTGAGCCCTCAGCGCAGTTTCAGCAGCCCTACTGTATTGTAGAAGCCTTATATGGCCTCCTGTTCCTCTGAAACGTGCCCATGAAGCATCGTTTCTGTCGCTGGGCCTTGCCCACTCCACTCGTCCACCACGGGGGTCTGCCTTGCCTGCGGATTTTCCGCAATGGAGCGAATTCTTGCGAAAGTTCAATAAGGTTGCCCCTTATAACTCCCCACAGTTCCCCGACTGTGTTTATGCTT